TTATATATTTGAGTAATTAAAATCAAGTGTGTGATGAGACACCATACACTGAAATTGAAAGCACACTGAAAGGTCTAACATTGGCTTTCAATTTATGTTCTGTGAAATATGATTGCCAGATACTTCCAGATACTGTTGTCACTTGGCCCATATTGTACAGGACATCAAGTATTTTTAGTGTACTATATTATTATTATTATTTATATAATAATTAATTAATGTCATGTTTATTATTAGAAAATAAACACATTATTTAATACCTTTACTTATTACTGTTTTCTATTCTATATATATTCCACATCAAGTTTTCAATAGTTTGAGATCATCTCATTCCTAATCAACTCCAATTATTGAGAATCTACTGTACTTGGGAAAAAGAAAGTTTATTTTTTATTATAAGTAATACATAAACTATATTAACTTTAAATATATAAATTTTAAATACTGTAAACAAGTTTTTTATTTTATAAATTAATTTATCTAATCTTCTAATTTTTTTCATTTTTTATTGAGTCATTGCAAATGAAGTAGCCATTTTTTAAAATTTAAACTTTCTGGCCTTGTAGTTCAACTTATTCTGTGTGAACAGTGTTGTATGTTTGCAATTGGAAGAACACACACATAATATGTGAATTTAAAAATGTAATCTCATTTACATTGTGAGTTCCACATGTTTTAAGAGTACTTTTTATGATGGCATTAGTATAAGCAAATGTCATAATGCAGCCAAAGCTACTTGAAATACCAATAAAACTTTTAGTGAAGGTTCTGTGAGTGAGCAGGTCACCAAGCATTGGTTCAAAAAATTTAATTGCAGAAATACAAATATCAATTCAATAAAGTTGTTTTGAATTCAAATCCTAGTTACCTGATGAGGACTCATTGATAGAGCTGAAAAACAGTTTGTAAAGTGTTTTAACAAGTTTTACTACCTCAGTGTTAAAGTGTTGTTTGTATTTAATACAAATCTCAAAAATCAGAATTGAACAATATCATTGAATCAGAACTTCAACTGACTGTCCAGGAAATTGTAGAAAAGTTGAACACATTGGACATTATTCCATCATTTCTCAACTTCCGAACATGTTAGGGAAAGTCAAGAAGCACAACAAATGAGTACCACAAAAACTCAGTGAGAGAGGTAAGGAGCATCATTTGGAGGCCTGTAGTTCTTTAATTATTTGTCACAAAAGTGAAGTATTCAAATGAAATTCTTTCCCATTTAATTTGTTCTTCTGACTTTTTACCAACAGGCTATCACTTTTTTTATACATTTGGACAGTTTTTAGTAAGGAAAGCCCTCATAGAAAAATCCTTCAAGGAATGCCTTCATGGACACAATAAAAAGTACTTTTAATGACTTTTTGGCTTCTCATTCTGTCAAATTGGCATTAATGCATTTTTATTGCATTGGGAAATATGTATTAATGTTGGTGGAGACAATTTTGATTGAATATGTAAGTTTTAAATTAAATTTAATAAATGTTCAAAGTCAGAAGTAAAATCAGCGATTTCATTTGCAGCAACCTAATATAATTTTATATAATTTATAATGATAAATTTTTGTTGCATAGATTAATTTCTGATTACAATGTTTGAATTTCAGTTTATTGTTTTAGTAAATCTGGATTTAATTAATTGAGGCTGCTACTTTCTAGGTTTTCATGTTTAACAATTGCTTGACTTAAGATGCCACAATTTCTTTATGGGTTTTGCAGTGTGTGTGGAACTATATGGAATTCATTTGAAAACGAGCTTTCCATTCTTTAGATTTTTTTTAAGTGGAAAAAAAATATAAATACAGGTAACCCCCATATAACACGGTAGTTACGTTCCAAAAAATTGCTGTGTTATGCAAATCAAAGAACTAGTACGAAAAGGAGGGTTAGGTTCCAAAAATTAAAAAAACATGCTATTATATTTTCATAATTAAGATAAATATCTTTATTAAAATTTTCTTAAGTGATACATATTAATATAAATTAAATAATGTTTTCTTTGTCATCACTAAAAGCACTATTAACCGAGAGCGTTTTATTTTTGGCAAGTTATCGTTATCCTCTGAGCATTTTTCTGCATTATTTTCAGATTCATGCTTTACCTTTTGCAAAAAGTGTATGTAATTTTAGATTGCTTGCTTCTAGTTAAAAGATCTTTATAAATTTCCTTATATGGTGCTAAGTACTTATGGAATAAGGGAAAAACATCTGGCAACACCGGAAGCAGAAGCGTCGAGATATGGCAAAATTGAAACAATTTTCGCGAAGGACCATGTGTATGGAGACTGAGAAAAGAAAAATTACACACTGAATAATAATTTTGGTGAACTATTACTACTTAAGTATGTAAAAATTTATTATATTTCATGTTTTATGAGGGTTTTACCCATTTCTTGAACCATGTCAGAGTGAATCCGTGCTATAGAAGTGTCGTGTTATACGGGGGTTACCTGTACAGTCGACCCCCCTATAACACGGGTTCCTATAGTTCGGATTCCTATATCATGGTGGAAAGATTGTGACAGTATTCGTACAAACATGCTAAAAAAACTCCTATAATTTGGTAAAACGTCATCACCGACTCGTGTCGCAACAGGATTGGTCGCATCTAGACCAATAGCGGATATTGCACAAACCATTGAGTTTAAATGAGCAACGGACCTACTAAAAACCATTTATTATTTAACGTCCATAAAAATTATATTTATATTAATGATGTCTCCAAAGTTCAGCGAATTTTTCGCAAAAAAAAAAAAATAATAATAATTTATCAGGAAGCACATGAGCGCCATTTGATGACAAGCTCCATGATGAAAACAAGCTTAAGCAATGGTGCGGTCAAATGGTGCACACTCAGTAAGTAATCCTACAATTTTTTGTTTATAGCGTAGTTTTTATGGATTATTCCCAAAAAATTATACGTATTTTGGAAATGTTGAGTCGAATTAGTCTAGAATCGATTAATTTTATGGAAGAAAACCTTTCAAACAACCGTAGTCCGTAACGTGCATATGTGCCATGCTGTGATTGGCTGGACTCGTAGAAAATGGTTCATAAAAACCAGAACGTATCTACTGTGTTATAGAGGGGTCGACTGTATGTTAAATTTCTTCTCTTCACTTTCATAAATCTTAATATAATGTAAAATATTTCACTATCAAATCTATTGTATATGATGCAGTCATGTAGGGTGGTTTATGGTTGATATGAGATTGTCTTAGAAATTATCATCTTATGAAAATTAAACTAATTTTAAGTCATGTTGATTCAGTGCTATATTAAATGTTATGTTTATGTATTAGATTTATTGTCAGAATCAAAGCCCCAACATTGGCCCTGAACACTGAAAATTTGAAATGTATAAGAGTAGATTGGAGGATAAATATATTAATGCAAGAGATGTGGACAGTTTACAACAGCTTGGAAGTTTATTGTAAAAAATAAACTGTATAGAAACACCTAGTTAAAATTGCTAACATATATTTTTATATTTAAAATTTACAATTCTAGTTTTATATATTTTATTTCACTTTTGTTAGAATTTAAGGTTATTTTAGAATTTTTGTTACTTTATGTTAAAATTTTATTTTTGTGTTCTTTATATTCAAATATTTAAACTTGGATGTTATATACAAAACATATTGTATTTTGGAACAGTTTGTAACAGATGTTTCAAAATCAGTCACCTGAGGATGATCTATATATTAAGCTGAAAATATTACTGCATAACATATAAATGTTTCTTGGCAGCCAAATGTGTTTAATGATGAATTCTTTATAAGATAGTCTGATTGCAGATTGTCAAATTATGTTATGTATATGCTTATCTATGATAGACTTTAATATAACCAACAATGAGTTAATATAAAAAAGAATGTTTTACTTTTTATTTTTGATAATAAGCAATGGGTATGATACAGTAGAGCATCGTTTATCCGAAAGCCAGTTATCCAAAACATCGGTTAACTGAAAGCATTCCACTCAGCAAATTTAAATTTTCACTAGTGCTGTGGTGCTGCAATCTTTGGCTATATCTTGGGCTACTTCGATATTTTTTTCTTGGTGTGTGTGTTTTAGTTGGCAGCACTGGCACTTTTGTGTGGTGTTTTTCTGAGGACTGTGTAGTGCTGAATCAAACGTTTTTGATACTAGATCAATTTCTAAAGTATATTTTTTTTGGTTTTTATATTTTTAGATATATTTATTTTGTTTGTAAAAAATAAAGAAATAATTTTTAACAATACAATAGCCATGATTATTATTTTAAAAAGTTTACGTTAGGCTTAACATCGACGAAAATTCAACACGAAGCGACACACAACGGAGAAAGATTTCAACATGGGATAGGTTAATATATTTTTTTGTACATAATTGGTTATCTGAACAACCTCAGTCACCAATTGATTTGGATAAACAACGCTCTACTGTATCAATAATTTATTTTTTTAAAAACTGTTCTTAACTAATTAAGCAATTCAGTTAGCACTTCTTATTTGCTAGACACTAAATTTCATTTATTAAACATTTAGAGATTAAATTATAGTAAATAAAATATATTAATTATCTTTCTAATGAATCGATTAAAAAAGTTATTTGAGGAGAAATTGAATAAGTTTTGTAATTTTATTTTATAAGTCCATTCAATTGTAAGTCAAACTTTTGTAAAAATTTAGAAATAATCTTTTTAACAAATATTAAAACTAAAATTTTAGTAATTGTTTAGAATTTCAATTATTTTGACATCTTATGTTATTTTCTAAAGTTTAATATTTGTTTTTTAAAACAGTGTTATGTAAGATTTTATTTCCTGTACAGAAAGAAGTTTAAAATTTGGAAAGGAATAGTTTCAAATTATAACAATAACAACTCTCCTTTTCATTAACAAGTTTTCTTAACATGTTATACATTGTCTTCATGATTTTATATTGTTCTTAAAATAATCTAAGTTTAAAATTTTTATGGGCAACTTTAGAATAAATCTAAAGTAAATTAATATTTCAGGTGGGCTGAACAAGAATGTATTCGTCAGAATCTTTTAATAAATCCAGACAATGAAAGAATGACATTAGGACGTGCTTTGTCTCTCATTCGATTTCCTTTAATGACTGTAGAAGAATTTGCTGGTGGTGCTGCTCAATCTGGCATATTAACTGATAGGGAAGTGGTTTCGCTGTTTCTCTATTTCACTGTTAATCCAAAGCCAGCTGTCAGCTTCCCAGATGTGCCCAGGTGCTGCATTACAGGAAAAGAGCAAACTGTGTGTCGTTTCCAACAGACTGAGAGTCGATGGGGATATAGTGGAACCAGTGATAGGATAAGGTAAATTTAAATTTAATGAATTATAATATTTAGATAAATCATTTTTAACAGATTAACAATTACATTTTAATTACATAGTAAAAAATGATAATGATGAATATTTAAGGTTTATGGCAGATCGGAGAATTTTTGTGGTAGGATTTGGCCTTTATGGATCAATACATGGGCCTTCTGACTATGATGTTAATATTCAGGTTTGTATATTATTATACTAAGTAAATTATATAATAATCTTTACCCTCAAAGTTAAAAACTGAAAGCTGAAAAAATAATGGAGCCTATTTATAAACTTTATCAATAGTCTACTCAAATTATCAGTAATTTGAGTAGGGTACATTAATCTCCTCAGTTTGTTGTGTTTTATTATTATTACTTATACAGTAGAGCATTGTTTATCTGAATCAATTGGGGACTAGGGTTGTTCAGATAACTTATTGTGTACGAAAAAATATATTAACCTATCCCATGTTGAAATTTTTCTCTGTTGCATGTCATTTCACATTGAATTTTTGTTAATGCTAAGCCTAACAAAAATTTTTATAATAATAATCGTGGCTATTGTATCGTTAAAAATTATTTCTTTATTTTGTACAAACAAAATAAATATATTGAAAAATATATAAAAAAGAAAATTATACTTTAGAAGTTAATCTAGTATCAAAAATGTTTGATTCAGCACGACACACATCCTGACACACAGTCCTCAGAAAAACATCACACAAAAGTGCCAGTGCTGCCAGCTAAAACACACACACCAATCAAAAAAATATTGGAATAGCCCAAGACATAGCCAAAGATTGCAGCGCCACAGCACTAGCGGAAATTTAAATTTGCCGACTGGAACACTTTCGGTTAACCGACGTTTCAGTTGACCAGCTTTCGGATAATTGACGCTCTACTGTATTATTTTTGAGTGTTTTTATTTTGTTATTATTGAAAGCAAATCACAATTTATATCAATAAATTGTGATTTGCTTTCAATCATAAATACTACGGGATGATGATAATCATCATTCTGTAGTAGTCAACTACATTTCATTATTTCTGCCTCTGTTTAAATCTTGGATTATAACATAAAACTTAACTCTTATGTTACTGTGTTAGATTCTATTTTCTTATTGATCAAGAGCTAGAATCAATAAGAAAATATAAGGATGAGTTTGATGAATTTATAGTCTTTATATTTCCATAACAGCTTTAATAAGGATTGGAACAGCAATTAAACCACTAATAGATGAGAACATCACAATGTTAATATCTGATTAAATTACCAATTTTAATATTTTAAACAACTAGTAAATGTTAACTCAGGGGTGCACAACCTGCGGCCCGCGGGCCACATACGGCCCCCTATCAATGTTTATGCGGCCCGCGGACGGTACAGGCCAAATCCCTTCTTTCGAAGTTTCTACGTGTAGAACTTTTTCCCTATCACAAAGTCATTAGCACCCAACTGTTTTATGACTTTCCCTGAGGTGAGAAATGGGGGAGTGTTCTATNTATATTAATATACTATTATTGAGATATACTACTATACAATATTAATAATAATGTATTTTTTCGTACATAATTGGTTATCAAAAATATCTATTTTCCGAACAACCCCAGTCCCCAATTGATTTGGATAATTGATGCTCTACTGTATATGATAAATGATAAATTTATTGTTATGAAATTCATATCTAATTGTTATAAAACAGTGAATTTTAAAACCCAATAAAAAAATACAAATATTCATAATAAAAATCACTTAATAATAAGTTGTAATGATAAATAAATTGTGAAAAATTGAATGATAAGGATGTAATGTACTTTCATTACTGTCTTCAAATTTGAAATACAAAATTGAGTCATAAATAATTATACTTAACAAAATAAATTGAAATATTATAATTTCAACAAATCTTTCTTTTTAATTATAATATCCCTAATATGTTATTTAAAATGTAATTCTGTTTTAGAAGCATAATTATCATCATTTTTATTGTAATTAATCTCTGAATCAGAATATATAGTATGGTCTTGTAATGTTCCCATATAAAGTGCATCAACAGATACTTCATAAATTTGGCTTCATCCCAAATAGTACTGATGATTGCATGTACACTTATGTAACAATTTACAATTAATAGAGAAATATTAAAATGCATTAAAACATTTTACATATGTTTTATGTATATACTGAATTTTGTAATAAAAATAGTTGGCATTTGCATTAGAATTATTCTTGTTCGTCTAAGAGTTAATCACATCATTCACCATATGTGAAACACAAATCTGCATATATCAATCTCTATAAAACAAGATCCTATTGTGTTGATTGTCAAATTCCTCTCATTATATAATATATTCTTCTGATTTGCCTAAAATATCAAACTGTCTGCTTATGACACTTTCATCACAATTTCAGTGATATTCAAAGTTGTAGTGATCCATGAATCATCAAATGCTGTCTAAAGATAGTTTCCAATTTTTATTGAAAGCACTTTGCTGTTAATTTCCATCAATATTATCTTATTTTTTGGTAGCAACCTGATTTTTAACAATATATAAAAGATTCCAAATGTATCATTTAAATCAATGATTTACTGATGATTTAAATAGTGCATTTGAAATCTTTTAATGTACTTTTTTAAAAATTGTAATTTGAATGGTATATGCTCAATCTGAAGACATTTTGTAATGTCAAAAGTATTTGTTTTTAATTAAATACTTTGCAAGTAAACTACTTTAATGCAGTAGGAAGTTTATTTTTATTTATGAGATTCATTTTTATTTATGTTTGAGTCATTCTGAAATAAATAAAAGCCCTTATTAGATGTTCATAGTTATACAGGCCTATATAGTGGTACCTCATACTTACATTTGTAGTTGAATGAATCCAACTACAAATATTCCAAATATATTTGTAACACTTACATATTAACCATGGCATGAAGAAGTGTGAAAACAATGAAACAATATTACTAAAAGTAGTTTGTGCTGAAGTTTAAAGGTGAATTTATAGTTTTAATTGTTTCTGTTCAGAAAATTACAAGTATTTCTCTTGTTTTGTTTAGTACGAAATCAGAAATAGTTTTAATAAAAATTGCATTATAATAGAGTTAAACATAAAAACATGTATATTCATGAAAATCTGCTGGAATGTCTTCTCGAAAACTTAACTTCAAATTTTAACCATACAACCATGGATGTCAATGTCACTAGAACCACATTTTCTACTTACAATCATCTCCAGTTCCAAAGTATATTTTACAGTTCCACTCCCTTTCACCCTTGTTTTTAGACTCACTCAATTGTGTCACTCCCTCTACCCTCTAGTGTTTAAAATAGGGTACCAAAAACTGTGTAATTGTAAGCCATTATTATTATTATTATTATTATTAATTTTTTATGTTTCTATAGTTTTCACATGTTTATAGTCTTCTTTTAAACCAATTTTTTTTTGTTTTTTTAATTATTTCAATGAAAACTTTAACAATTGCAATTTTCTGCAACAGCGGAGGATTTGTTATTGTACTTTATGTGTTCTTTTATTCTAATTTTGAGTACTCTACTAGTTTATCCTACATACATGTGTGCATTAGCACAATTACAATTAAATTTATAGACTACATTTTTTTCTTTTCAAATGTTCAAACTACAGTCCGTTTCAAAATTATAAACACACCCAACTTTTTTCAATAACAAAACCATTAACAATAGTAATGTATTTGTTATATTAGTATGCTGTTTACAACATCAATTTAAACATTTTCTGAAATTTTTAGAGCTATCTGACAATTACAAAAAAAATTATCAAAGATTTTCAATTTTTGATTGTTTCAAAAGTATAAACAGAGGTGCATAAAATTAGCATGATAAGTTTTTAATTAATTATTGGTTTAATTAGTTGTCACCAGAGGATAGTATTGTTTATTATTACAAATGTGGAGCCAATTTTAAATAGTTTTTTTATGATTTAAAACAATGCCTCATGGAAAAGCACTAACGGAGTTGGAATATACATGAAATTTACCAACTAAAAGGAGCAGGACCATCTCTAAGACAAATTTCGGCAGCTGTAAATTGATCTACACATGCTGTGAGAAATGTATTAACTCTGGATGAAAATTATGACAGAAATATGCTATGTGGAAGGCCTAAACTCCTTACACCTAGAAATGAAAGAAAGGTTTTTCGACTGCTGACAGTCAACAAGTTGGCTGTCAGAGAATCAGCATCAATATTGCCAATTGCAGTTTTACCAGAAACTGTATGGAGATGTATGCATAATCATAAAAATGCCAAATTTACAAAAATGGCTACCAAACTGAAATTAACACAATTGCACAAAACAGCTAGATTAAAGTGGACCATAGACAAAATGACATGGAAAGAGGAGTGGACCCAAATAGTCTTTTCAGATGAAAAAAATGGAATTACTGCCTGACAGTTACTGCCACTACTGGCATGATTTGAGGAAGAAGTCAGAATGAGCAGACAGCAAGGTGGGAATCTTTGTGATGGTGTGAGCAGGATTTGGATGAAGGAGTAAAACAAACATTGTAGATATAGAAGATAGAATGAATTCAGAAAAGTATCAAGAATTGTTGTATCAAAATTTAATAACTTTTGGATCACTTATTGGGTGAGAAAACTGACAATTCCAACAGGATAATGCTGCCATTCATGCATCAAAGTCAACTAAAAATTGGTTTAATGAAAAAAAATTAATGTAATTGATTGGTTATCATGGAGTTCAGATATGAATTCAATAGAGAATGTTTGGGGCATTATAAGTCATCTTGTTTATGGCCAAAACAGACAATACAACATTGTAAATGAATTGAAATTAGCTATCATGTATTGTTGTGAAAATATTAAACAACAACAACTTCAAAAACTAGTAAAATGTATGTCTGATATAGTATTTGAATTAATTAAATCAAATGGTGGACCTACAAAATATTGAGACATCACAAATCGTTTTTTTAGGCACGTCTTTATACTTTTGAAACAATCAAAAATTGAAAATCTTTGATAATTTTTTTTTTGTAATTGTCAGATAGCTATAAAAATTTCAGAAAATGTTCAAATTGATGATGTAAACAACATACTAATATAATAAATACATTACTATTGTTAATGTTTTTATTATTGAAAAAAGTTGGGTGTGTTTATATTTTTGAAACGGACTGCATTTTGTTTTTATTCCTAATTAATTTACCTAGTGTATTCATCTGTTGTGATATTAAAGTTATTTGGTTTTTTTAATTCCTTCTTTTATTTTTTCAAAAATGCCTTTTTCATATTTTACTTTTATAAGTTGTGATTGGTTGGGAGGGAGTGTTGATAATGTTTATTTTATTCTGATCTATGTTGGATAACCACATTTTATTGTTTTTTTTATTGTAATCATTCATTAAGAAGATTTCTATTATTTCATTTATTTCTATTTCTTTATCACCAAGGGACATTGTTCTATTTTTTACTTTATTTATGTACATATGAAACACATTCTCTTTTATATACATGGGTACATCTGATATATAATTCATAATCTTTGGAATTGAACATGGTTTTACATATTTTTTAAATTTGTAACTGATTATTTAGTCTTATTATATGAACATAAAGGAAATTTAAGTTATTATCGTCATCATTTTCTATTTCAAACTTTATATTATTATCTAAACTGTTGACCTTATTTAAAATTATCTGAATATTGGTTTCTCTTACATCATATATTAAAAAGCACTCATCTACATCAGGGGTGGCCAACTTTTGTGTACATAAAATTACTTTTTGTCTTCAAAATGTGTTGTGATCGACTTGTTGTCGTAGGCATAGTCTAAGTGGTGAGGGAAAGGTGTGAAATACATACTATGATTAGATAGGTAAGAAAAGCCACAATTTAATTTAAAACATGAAGAAAAGGTACTTACATTTTAAACAGAAGAAAAATTGAATCTCAATGTGTATATGTATTCTCTTGAAAATGTGTTAATATTAATATACTATGTATTATTAATCTGTAAAAAGATCATTATTGCTGTGACATTATATTGTAGAACATACACATTCTTTAAAAGTTGTAATTATACAAGATTTTATGAACACATGTTAAAAGTTTACCGTATTAATGTGAAACTGTATTTGAAGTGTTTTTAAATGGCTGTATTTTAAACTCTTTCCAACATTACCCGTTATACACCGTGGTTTTAGAAGACAGAACCTTAGTTTTGAACTGAAGAGGGACTTAAAATACATATAAGTTTGAAATGCATATGTCAAAACAATAAAAGAAGTATCTAACCTGAAAGCTGTATTGATAGTCTACTGAACTGAATTGATCGGATTAAAGAGACACATTCACAACGAAATAGCAGCTACCATAAGTGATATTTTAGATGAATCTCAATGTTGTCACTTTTGGGGACCACCATTTCACTTTTCCTCTCTCTACTGTGTCCCGACCTACTCTCTCTGTCCCTCTTCCTGCTTTTTTTTTTTTTTACGACCATTTGTCTACATTTCTTGCTTCCTTTTTACAACTGTATGCAAATGGCTTGCACATGGACCTACAAAACTGCACTGAGGGAGGATGCGGAGGTCTGACATCACTACAGTTGCGTTTGGTTACAANACTTGTTGTCGTAGGCATAGTCTAAGTGGTGAGGGAGAGATGTGAAATACATACTATGTTTAGATAGGTAAGAAAAGCCACAATTTAATTTAAAACATGAAGAAAAGGCACTTACATTTTAAACAGAAGAAAAATTGAAACTCAACGTTGTCACTTTCGGGGACCACCATTTCACTTTTCCTCTCTCTACTGTGTCCCGACCTACTCTCTCTGTCCCTCTTCCTGCTTTTTTTTTTTTTTACGACCATTTGTCTACATTTCTTGCTTCCTTTTTACAACTGTATGCAAATGGCTTGCACATGGACCTACAAAACTGCACTGAGGGAGGATGCGGAGGTCTGACATCACTACAGTTGCGTTTGGTTACAAGTGTAACAGATTAAGTCAAGACATCGCTGACGATCGACCAAAATTGGCTTCACAATTGACTTGCTGGCCACCCCTGATCTACATTATGAAAAAATTGTTTTATACCTTGTACTTTTATTATATGCTCATTTAATGACCTCATACATAATTCAGCCAAAATGGGGCCTATGCATGACTCCATTGGAATACCATCCTCTTGACCATAATATCAATCATTATGTTTAAAATAGTTATTTTCCATAACTAGCATAACTAAGTCAAGAATCCAATTAAGACACTTCATGTCTACTAATGTTTCCTGTATTTTTCTTAATTTTATAGATGGATACATGCATGTTTTTGATATCTAAAGAGACTAATCTTCAGTATTGGATAACCATTTTCCTTCAATTTTCCTATGAATATGTCTGTCCTGTTAACATTATATTGTGACATTTCAAAAGTTTTTAATTTATTTTTTAAAAAGGTTTCAAAATTACAAAAAGCAAAACTTTTTTTAACATCAGTTATAGGTTGGAATTGTATTAGGTAGGCCTTTGTGTGTTTTTGCTCTAACCAAAATTTTGGTAATCTATTATTGCTGTTGAGTATTGTTCATTTTATCATCAATGGAATTTCTTTCTTAGTGTTTTTATTAATAATTGGTAGGATCTTTTTCAAATTTATATATATATATATATATATCTTGTTTTAAAATCTCATTTACAATTTGATGATACTGCTCACTATTTATAACTAATAGCTGTTTGGTTTTATCTACTCTTTCAACAGTTAAATTATCTTCTTTTTGGTATTAACTATATAATAAATAATTGAAAAATATTGAGAACTACCTATTATAAGTTTGCTTTTTAAAAATTGTTTCAAAATTGACTGCTTTAGAAAAGTAAAATGGAATGATGACTAATTTAACATTAAAGATTAAAATAGTATTAAAACTGATTTACTAACTTATAAATACTATAAATTCTGGAATTTATAGTATTTATAAGTTAGTAAATTCTTAGTAAATCTTATCAGATTGCTCTATTTTTAGATATGAAAAAATTCTGGATTAGTCATGTGTATCTTTATATGTTCTTCATACAACTACATAAAAAATGAAAAACACTTTAAAAATAAATTAATAAAATAGTAATAAGTAAAATAATTAAAATAAATTAATAAAAAATAGTTCATGCATTAAAAATAAAATATGAAACCATTTCTAAGAAATTATTTCAGATAATACTTTAAAGTATTGATATTTTTAGAGTATTTTGTTATTTTATTAATGATATGTAATATTTTAGATAATTCATACTGGAACAGGAAAAGTATTAGGATCAAATGATACAAGTTTTAGTTGTGATGGTTCTGCTTCAACCTTTAGAGTTATGTTCAAAACTCCAGTGGAACTGAGTCCAAATGCTAGTTATACTGCTTGTGCAACATTAAAGGTATGTGTGTGTGTATGATTTTAACTAATATTTTTAATTTTTATTTTTCTTATTTCTGACATTTTACTTGAAAAAATATACAGTAAAGTCTTGTGTTATTCAGAATTGATATATGCAGATTCATATTTTTGTGGATGGCAAATGATTAGGTTAACCCTTAGATGCATAGGTAATTCTATTAATACTCTAATGCTATTAATGAATTTTACTCTTGATGAAAATCAGTAAACTCTGCTTCTCCAGTTTTGACAATCTAAACATGTAAAACTACTGAATGCTATTTACTGTGGTGGATATCCTATCCTGGTTTGCATGTATAAACTTTTTTCTTATGTAGTGCATTCAATATAGTACATTAAGAACTATATTTGCTCTGTATATATTAAATTAAATATACAGAGTAAATATAGCAGTTATAAAATATACAGTATAAACACAGTATATTCAGAAATATTGGACTAAAAGTTTATCACAACCATTCACAACTTGTAAATGACACTTATGCAATCATTTACAGAAAAACAATGAAACATGTTAAAAATCTCTGATGGTTTTACTTCATTATAGTAAAACCATCAGAGATTTTTAACATGTTTCATTGTTTTTCTGTAAATGATTGCATAAGTGTCATTTATAAGTTGTAAATGGTTGTGTTTCCGGAACTGCATAGGATGGAGCATGAGTTTACATGGAAATGGTTTTATGCAATAGCTGCTGATATAACTCCACATAAAACAAGACCATACTGTAGTTTATTCATGTGAAGGACAAAAAATTTAGACTGTTGGCTATCTTAAAGTCTTGTAACTTAACTTCAATTTTGATTCAATTATTATATAAATTATAATTGTTAGTTTATTAATATCATTATTTTAAATTTACTTAAGGGTCCAGATTCTCATTATGGAACAAAAGGTTTAAGAAAAATCCCATTAGACTGTCCAAGTGGAGGTAAAGTGACTTTTCAGTTTACGTATGCAGCAGGAAATAATAATGGTACATCTGTAGAAGATGGGCAAATTCCAGAAATCATATTCTATACCTAATAGATGACATGTTGACCAAATGGAAAATATAAAGCCCATCCGCTTTATATGCCGATGGCCAATATTATATCCCATCGTATTTTTGTAGGTAAAACTAGTTCCATAAACGGATTCATTATTATTGTGTTACTTGCATTGTTTACTGAATATTGGTCAGAAAATATTCCCAAAGCTTGTTATAATCCATATAATAGTGTTCAAAATTTCTCATAACTAATATACAGCAGCTAATAAAGTTTGTTAAGTTTTTATTACAGAACTTTTTTGTTTTTAAAATTTGGAAGATTAAATTTTTAGTTAAGGATGACAAATTATACATAGATTCATTTATATTTGGACTTGTTTGGTGATAAAACGCTATCAAAAAATAACCGAGTGTTGTTCTAGTCAAAATATAATCAATTGATATCCCAAACATTTACATATTATCCAATAAATTTTTATTCTCAGTAAAAGTTGTTTTCTGAGATCTTAAGTTAGTGATTAGAAATTTGTTAAATTTTCTTATATTTTTAGGCATATCTAAGTGAAATATAATTTCTTCAGTACCTTTGTAAGAATTTTGTACACTTGGATACTGCATGCTATGCTAATTTTAAATTAAATATTTTTTATTGTAACACAATACATAATCATTGGAAATCAGATTTATATCTGAAAATTATCAAAAGTGCCTGAAAGTTAAAAAAAAAAAAAAATGGGTATTTTAAAATTAAAAAAAAAAAGAAATAAAAAGCCCTTCACTTTAATATGGTAGCTATCTTAACTTTGATGAAAAATCTCAAAACTTTGGAATTATTCTCACTATTTTTTGAAGTTCTAGCATCGAATATATTGTTTGATCACATTGGCACATGCATAAAAATCATAAATATTTATTGATTTCACTGCTTGGAAGATAAATATTTCTTTTGAATTTTTATATCATACTATCATCATTAAGTACAGACAGTTTATGAGTTTTGAATGAGATTTTATATTAAGAAATAATGTCATCTTATTAAATAAAAAAGGGGCTCAAAAGGTCATGCAATTATATCCAACATTAATAAGATTGCCCTAACAAATTAGATAATATCAGTCTAATATTAAAGTAATTCATACTTTTAATTGTGTAACTATTATGATAAAGAATGAGAAATTAAATAGTTCAGAAATTTCTTAATTGAGATATATATATGTATATTTAATAATAATCTGCATGACATTTCAAACTGTGTAATTGCCAAAATGTTGTCATGTGGAAGTCATTGCATATCAGACAGCTAGATCATGCAATATTATGAGCATTATAGTTACATTAATTTGTTTCCTATTTCTTACTTTAAAAGTTTAATTATTGAAGCAAGAATCTTGTTGTTTGTAAGAGCATTGAAAATGGTGAAAATTAATGTGCCAAAAAATAAAGGAGAAGAAAATGATATTTCGGGTGTTGTTTTTACTTAAAAATTTAAGTATAAATCATTTTTAACATTTGCAAAATTTTATATATAATGTGTATATAAATATATATAAATTTCAAAATTTATGTAGAACTGGCATTATTTAATATATTTTCCAATGCCATTGTTGTATAATTTCTCCTTCTTAGTACTGAATAAAGAAAATAAGCTTATCAGTATTATTATTATTATTATTATTTTTTTTTTTTAATACATAATTCTGAATCATTATCTCTGTTCATCAATAAATGTCATTTCATTTGTTATCCAAAATAATTTTAATTAAAAGTTTGAGTCAAATACAGAATTTTAATATGAATGTTTTATTCAATTTTTTCTGTTTGTTAAAAATTTAGCATTTGGTGTTAAATGAAAAAATTCTTTATAGTGGAAGTAGGAACAAATAAAAATAGTAAAATTAATAAATTAAATAAAACGAGATAAAATTTATACCTTGTATGTTTGCAATGTGCAATTGAGTCCTTGCAAAGAGTTTCATTTTAAACTGAATAAAAATGATCAATAAATATTTGTCAATAAATATACTTAAGCAGTAAGCTCATACATATAAAAATTAAGTAAAATAAAAATAAAAATAGTAAAATTAATAAATTAAATAAAACGAGATAAAATTTATACCTTGTATGTTTGCAATGTGCAATTGAGTCCTTGCAAAGAGTTTCATTTTAAACTGAATAAAAATGATCAATAAATATTTGTCAATAAATATACTTAAGCAGTAAGCTCATACATATAAAAATTAAGTAAAATAACCAGAATTTTTGGCAATTAATTTTATTAACTATAACGGATTCAGAATTATAGCTGATTCAGATTCAGTTTTTTATGATAAGAACTGGATATTATTTTTTCTTTTCAAGACAGATTTCATATAATACAAAATTTGTTATATGATCATTCATAATGGATAGTATTAATTTCTTTTCGTACCAGAACTCGTGATTATCAGTTTGTTACACCTAAATAATTCTTTAAATTCAGTTTTAACATTAATTTATAATCTACTCTAGAATAAAGTAAAAGAATAATCTGCATACTGTTGATAGATGATCAGAAGTAAGTTGCAAAGTTTTTTGGTACTTTGTAAAGGACTTGAAATTTTTTTGTTAGACCAGCAGCCATCTTTTAATATTTTCTATAAGAGGCTATACTCTGTATTTAGTCGATTTGTTAGAAGTTAATGATTATTTTGCCTTTTAATGTCCATGGAGCAGAAAATTAATTTTTAATGCTATACTACAAGTGAAAATGGAATTCATATTTTCATTCAGTTGAGATCAGTTGTTTATGTTCCTTATTTAATTAATTATTGAGAGAGAAGATAATTGGGCTGCAATTTAAAAAAAATTGTAAATTTATAAATTCCCACTGTCATCCGTCTTTCCTTAATCTCTAGAATGGAGATAGATAGATGAAAGACAAGACCAGATATGGAAACCTTAGGTGTAGTAGGCCCCGATTAACTATATAAGAACTTCCGATGTAAACCAGAGTCGTTATTTCAATTCAAAAATTTTCCCACAAAAGCACATTATTGCTAACAGGAAATTTTCCCATGGCGTGACACTATTGCTAGCAGGAAAAATATTATGTACAGGGGCAAGACATTACTAATTTGAGGTGGAGGGTATATATTTTAAATTAAATCAGTGTTTCTCAACCTGTAACGAATCGTCGCCCCCTTCAACGTAGTATCGCCCCCTTCACTTCAAAATTCCGATGTCGAGGGCCAAGGCTAACGCCAAATTTGTACTGCATTGAATAGACTAGTAACTAGTATAATGTTATTTGTTCAATTATTGTACGATATAACGAATAAAATATCTAATTATTCTTAATATAATGTTTTACTCTATCACCCAGAAAATTGTTTTTCTCCCCCAAAATATAAATTGTTACAAATCGCTCCCTCAACATAGAAAAACGCCAACATGGGGGTGATATCGCCCCCGTTGAGAAACACTGAATTAAATAGATTAAAAATTACAGCTTGGCGTTGTGACAATGTCACAATAAAGAATTGCTCGTTAGGCTTTATAACTTATTATATTATCGAAAAAAAACATAATTTATACACTCACTGATAAAAGTTAGTCACCCAGATTGCAAAACTCAACATACAACTGTCTCACACAAGCATGTAAATGTATCTGGCATGCAATCATACCACAATTGTAATGTCACTAGAGTGCCTTAAAATTGCGATCATATAAAAAGGCATTACTGCATTTACAATATGGTGAATATTCTGAACAGGTACATACAGTGTAGTGTATGTACCTGTTACTCCAAATAGGTACTACAGGTAGTACCTATTTGGAGGTCTTTGAAAGTCAGGCATGCCTGTATAATGCAGTCAAACACATTAAGCACAACTGACAGTTCGAGAAAGGCCATATCATCATACAGAGAAGTTGGTGGCAGTTTCACTGAATTTGCCACCATTTGGACAGATTTTGGGGCAGAGTATGATGCCCCAAACATACCACTAGGAGAGATGATCGTCTGATTTGAAAAACTAAAACAAACAACTGCAATTTTCACTATCCAGAGATAGATGGAAACCTTGCTACAGAACTCTCTCTTTTTTTATCATTGGCAAGAGACTAGCAGATGCAAAGACAAATTTGTCTACAAGGTGACTGCTGCATGTTTTGCCATTAGCATTTCACCATCATCTAGTGTTGCCACCTTTTGAAAATCGCTAACCCGGACCGCACGTCAGGTTTATTCGAACAGAAGTTCCTGACGCATGCGCAATGTCATTTTACAATGCGAAGAATAATCTGCATACCGGTTCTAAATCAGTTGCAGTTAGGGACTAGGGACTTGCGTAGGAGTAACATAAGTAACCCTAAATTAAGAAAGAACAGGTACAGATAAGTTAGCTCTATTTGAGACGTACAAGCAAAATAAAAAGCAGATAGTACAATGAAGAAAAAAAACAAGGGGTTGCGCGCCACACGTCGGTGTAAACAGACTAGCATGGTAGAATTGCAGATGAGTTTTAGTGAGTGAGAGTTCTTTCTCTGTTAAAATAGTGTAAATTTGTAAAAATATTTGCAAGAACTTCGTTTCATCGTAATTTCACAATTTATACGAACCGACGAAATTCCCGGACAAAATTAATAGTTCACCCGGACAGTGAGTCAATTCCCGGACTGTCCGGGTGAAACCGGACGGGTGGTAACACTACCAGCATCGGCTTTGTTTGCAGTGGTGCCATGACAAACATGGCTGCTACAAACTGGCAGTGTATTTAGTGACAAATCCCTGTTCCATTTAGGAATGTAGAATCGCCGTATTAATGTATGGAAGACTACTGATGATTGTTTCAATCCTGCTGTACTGTTGAGTGGCACACTGCTCCTATTGCTGGCATACTTTTTTGTGGAACTTTCTCGCGTGATAGTCAGTCAGCCCTAGTAGTGGTGCAACAGACATTGACAGCACAGTAATATGTCCTTGAAATCTTGCACCTTCGTGTTATTTTTCGTGGCTGCAACATTCATTTTCCAGTAAGATACAGTAATCTTATCCATGCAAAGCTAGTGTTTTCCCAAAAATGTCTCGTGTTGTAACACTGTCCTGGGCCCTTAGTCTCGAGTTTTTCGTGTTACAACTCCCAACGTGTTGAAGGTGTCACGTGGTACCATCTTACAAACTGACGTCAAATTGGTAGTCTCGAGTTCTAACTCATGTGCTTTCCCATCTCACCATGTGAGTTTCTACTCACGTTGAGTCGAGCATGTGAGATCGCTACACGAAAGTAAAAATGGCTGACGGATACGCAATTCTTATCGCTATCGAAGAGTTAGAAAGAGCCGAAAGACGTTGTTTGAGAAGGCAACGAATTTTTCGACCACAGTAGATGACATTTCTTTTCGCGTCAAGTCAATACTAATAAAAAAATTTTAATTCATAATTGATAAAATTATACAGCAAATTTTTTCAAAAATAAAAAGAAGTATCTAATTCATCGAAAAAGAGTATTAAAATGATAGTAAATTATATGTATAAATTATTAAAAGCATAGACACTATATTAAGATTATTTATTAATCAGAAGTGTTAAGTTCTGATTAATACATAATCTTAATAGACAAAACAGTTTAAGAAATAGATCGAGGAAGAAAACTATATGAAGAAAGGATTAAATTAAAATACATTTAAATTACATGACGGATTTTTTAGCTCCAACACACGCAATTAATTTTTCAACTAATTCTCTCCACAAAGGGAATTGTCTTTTTCTTGTAAATTTATTGTCGAATTTTCCACTGTTCCATTTTCTTATTTTCTACGTATGTTACTAATATTTCTTTTTGTTCTTCGCTTATTTTTTAAAATAAAACATTGAACGTTTTCATTTTTTTTCTGCGTACTATATTGCTATAAGACCAGTGTTTTTCAACCTTTGGGTCGCAACCCCAGGTGGGTCGCAAAGCCATACACGGGGGGTCGCGGGTAAAAGAAAAAGACAAGTGTTTGTAGGTCCTCCACTACAATAAAAAAGTTACAATTTCAGTGAGAAGGCTATGCCTGTTTATTTTACAGTACAATTAGTTTTTTTTTAATCGATATTTATATCTCAACAGAAAGAAAATTAAATACGTAATTTTTAAAATCACTGACATAGTTTTAATATGGCCGTGGGGGGTCGCCAGAATTTTTTAACTTGTAAAGGGGTCACGTATTCAAGAAGGTTGAAAAACACTGCTATAAGACAATTAACTGTAGCACGTGTAAACTAATTCACGTTGATTTGTTTACAACTTGTTACAGTTAAGTTGATTGGTCGATTCATTATAGTCGCAAACCCAGATGCATTGTAAATAATCCCATCATGCTAAACGACACACGCAACCAAGTGAGTATGACGTATTTCCGCTCGCCTTTCGAGTTCGCTCGAAGAGTCTTAACTCGAGACTACCAATTATGTGAGTCATAGTAACACGAGTGAGTTCGATGACGTCAGTTCGAGTACAACACGAAAAACTCGAGACTAAGGGCCCAGTTCGAGTACAACACGAAAAACTCGAGACTAAGGGCCCTGCAAGCGTCTCCAGGTTTACCTCCCACTGATTGAATGAATCCGTCATATTCTGTACATTGTCTGCTCAAATATAAATTGTATTAATTTTTCTGTTAAATTTGATAAAGTTTAATAGAAAATGAGTATAAACTATCCAGTTTAAATAATTCGAAAGTACGGGCCAGCTCTTTAATATCATCTAACTTAAGAATTCCATTATGAAACTTATTACTATAAACAGCAAACGTACTCCTGCACATTACTGTCTTTAATCATGACTTGCTATATATTTTAATTAAAAATTTATAGCATAATAAATGCTTATCATAAATTAAAGGTTCAGTTTATTTGAACAATTTTTTGCATGAAAAATTTAATGTAATGGCAATTATAATTACTCAGAAATTAATGGTTAACCGTATAAACTTAATGCTATAGTCTCATGTTTAGATTAAAAAAATCGAAGGAATAAAATTATTTTCCAAAAACCTAGACTATAATTACTAATTTGTTATCATAACATTGAATTTGTCTTATTGTTGTAAATCATATTATTACAACTAAAGTGCGTTGTCTGTTGTAAACGAGCCAGAAAATGACTTCGCTATTTGAGAAATTTAACAGTTACCTAAGAGAACCTGGAATAATCGTCAATATAGCTAAAAGAGGAGAGCAATTTACAGGAGTTCCTCGAAAGATTTTTGCTATTGGTAACGTTTTGCTGCATACTTAATTGGAGATTTTCAAAAAATACAAATTAACAAATTTCTTTTAGTTCTCTACGTGTTTATAGTAGTATATCTTATTAAAGGGTATGCCCCGGATCTCATGAGCAATTCGATTGTGTTTGTGTATCCCGCCTATTCCACGTAAATTTTGCAAGTTATTCTGTTAAATTTGTTAAATTGCATTTGGATTTAACGTTTATTTAATTTCAGAATATGTTCCATGCAAGGAGATAAGATAGAAGAACACAAAGCTTGGCTAAAATATTGGATTATCTTCGCTTTTTTTGCCACTTTCGAGTTTTGGGTGAAGAATATCATTTATTATTTTCCTGTATATTGGCTTTTTAAGGTAAGAAGATATATATATCAGAGTATGTATAGAATATATACTTTGATATATTGAATCTCATTATTCTATAGGAATAAAAATACATGACGCTGTTTCTCTTCTCCACCTTGCGGATGTCAAGAGAGCCTTTTGTCATATCTACTATGGGCTCGGCCAAGTACCGTACTTACTGGGCACTCGAAACCCATAAAAACTCAATAACATTGGGTCTTTTTCTTTTTACTCTTTCTGCCCTGTTGGCACTAAGAGGGCCTAATTTAGCAAGTCCATTATGGGTTCAGCCAGGCCCACAATGGGACGACCGGGAGGTGAGGGGCGGGGGCCGACATATCCGGTCGGATCATTCCCGAAAAATTCCTGGGTATTTTTTGACCCGTCCAGATTCGATCTCGGGTCCCTTAGAGCGGTAGGCTGCCACCTCAACCGCTCGAACATCCGGCTGTCAATAACATTGGGTCAACCATTCATGAATACTAGTCTATCTGAATTCGAACTCGGATGCCCCAGAGCAGTAAATTGATGTATTGGTCTTGTAGCCTATATGGACAGTTGGTCTTGGCCGCCCAACTGTATATAAATAAATGACATACATTTGCTAACATTATACTTTTCGATTTAACGTATTTTAAAACACTGTTTTTAAAGACTATTTTGCTTATGTGGTGCAATTCCTTTTGGAACTTCACCGGATCTGTATGCATCTACGATTATGTGATTTTTCCAATGGCCATACAAGCGTTTGAAATGCAAGAGAAGCCTTCGAATTACTGCACGTTTTTTACTCTTGGTAAAAATGTACATTGTACAAACAGCATTTTCCGTTTCGTATATTTTAAATGTAATTTATTACAGAATCGTTTTCGAGATTATTGGAAAATGTACCTTGCAGAAATACACGAAATAAATTATTCTCTAAACTCGAATCGTTTCTGTTAGCCAAAACTTCTAATGAAGACATAAATGAAGCTCGAATTGAAGATGACTTAAATGATGATGATGCCGTGAATGACGACGAGGAAGAATATTTAAACGACATCGTTGAATTTGAAGATTTGGAAGTTGAAGATGAAGATACACACGTATCACATGGAGATAATGTATCTTCCCTCGAAATTTCTGAAGGAATGGCTATAGATTAGGAGAGTTAGATTCTAATCCAACGCATGTGAAAATTTAAATATTCAATAAATTCCTGAATACTTTCAAAATTAAGTAAAGATAAAAATTAATTAAAATTTTATTTCAACACTATTTATTTTTTTGTTTCTTGTTTTCCATTAGAGCATAATGTGAGGACATTCAAATGCATATTCCGATCACATTTTTTGCTTAGGTTATTTTTTATTTATTCGGCTGCAATTTGAAAAAAATTGTAGACCTATAAATTCCCACTGTCGTTTGTCTGTCTTTATCTAACTTTCCTTAATCTCGAGAACGGAGTTAGATGAAAGCTGAGACCAGATATCGAAAGCTTAGGAGCAGAGGGACCCAATTAACTATATACGAACTTCCGGATTGCACCGGAAGTCACGTTATTTCAATTCAAAAATTTTCCCTGAAATGAGTTAGTTTTTTTTTTAATTGTGGAATGAGAGACTATTGCAAGGGAGCGCAACTTTTACCAAATTATAATTTTTTTTATTACAAACAAATAAAAAAGTCATATCGATGTCGAAAAAATGAATCAGCAAAACGGTTATCCCTAATTCACAACCCTTGTCCGAACGACTCGGGTACGAATGCTAAAAATCCATCCATACTTGCCGAAACTTCTGGACGAGTCGAGCCCCGGCGAACAGTATATTTTATTTAATAAGGTATATTATTTTGTAGGTCATTAAATAAATTATAAGAACAGTATTTATGAAATTAGATTGTTACGAAAATTGAGGGAAAACAACATTTTTTTTTTTTTTTTTGAAAAAGATGGGGCGGAGATACAGAAAGTTTGGTAATCACTGAGATGACCGGCACGACTCGCTAACAGTAGAAGTATAAGTACAGGGGCACTACTAAAAAGATTGAGAACATTGTGACGGTGTAAAATTTAACACCCAAACAACCTGAGATGTAAAATTTCTCCAAGTAAACTCATGACAATTTAAACGACAGTCAAAATTTTAGGAGTTTTTCTTTGTCAAAGAGAAGATTGGCGCTTGGAAGAGATTTGTAGACAACAATAATACAGTACCGACGCTTTCGGTATGCTTTAGAAATTTATAAAAAGTTTTAATTGGCATAAATTTGAACTTTTGTAATTCTGAGTAACATTTTTAATAGAATTCATTTGTTCCATGCAATTTTATCTTCATAAGCATAAAAGTAAGCCGTAAAACTGAATTATCTCTATGGGAAACCTTCGTAAACTTTGATTTATCGACCCGGAAGTTTGGCGAGAATCTCACTGATAACGAGAAAGGCTTAAGTTTAAAATTTGAGCTTTCTAGACACGGTAGTTTTTTCTCTACGAGAGTCTGCAGTGCCGGATGAAGAAAATACAGCTTTTTTGGCGATTTTAGCATTTTTCAATTGCTTATATTTCGGCAATTGCTTTACAGAAAATCTTGAAATTTTGCACACTTTCTAAGAAAACAATTTTCTTTCGAACGAGTTATTCGGAATTACTTCAGGTGTTTGGGGGCGGAGAAATCGACCCCCGAAAATCAGCAACTCTGATATATAGTCATTCAGTGACTTTACTTTCCCAGCTGTCATATATATAATAGAGGGAAAGTGTGGCAATTAGTCAAAAAATGACCCGCCTCCCAGATTTTTGGATTCGGGACCTTGAAACGTCGAGAAATGCAAAAAACTTCGGGGGTTTTTTGTATGGATGTTAGTGTGTGAACATGATTTTGTTTACCTCTTTAAAGCTTAATAACGCCTGTGTTTTTTGTCAAAATTTTCTGAAATTTTGCAGGGTGGTTTGTGTATTAGGCGAATTGATGCTATTAAATTTTGGTGGTTAAAGGTCGACGGGGTGGGGAGATAAAGAAGGGTCGTGTGTCATATCTCGAGTAGAGTCGGATTTCATGACGATTTTACTCGTTATTAGGAACTTTTTATAAAACCCATCCCTACCTTCAAAATTAAGCTTTTGCTATTTTATAATAGTTAAAAATATATTTTATTTTAAAAAATTTTTTATAACAGATGACGCCACCAAAATTTTAAATGCTGTCGAGAAACTTGAGCAACTCGTTTCTGGATTTTTGAAAAGGTTCTTGGGATAACCATTTAACAATATATATTAAATGTTCTGTTTCTTTTCTATATCTTTTTTTAATGTAGTTCTTGAAAATATTTTCTATACTGTATTTCCATTATAAACATTTTCTTTAATAAAATACGTATTAATGTAACTTTGTCAGCTATTTTTAAAACAAATATTGTATATTTTTTAATTGTTTGGTTTGTCACCAGCGAATTTTTATATTGTTTTGCATGTTTTCGCAGAGGCGTAGCCTATAATAAAAGGTCGTCTCTGCAATGGAAAACTGTTGTACAGTACCTGGTGATTGGACGTGGCGAAAGTGTAGACATTTTAGTCTTTCTACGTATTTTATTACTTCCACAATACTGTTTATAATGGGAGTGACGTGTGTAACAAATGAGGAAAACCAGGAAGTAACTTGCCACAACTAAACGATCAATGGCTGATACTGATTGGTTAATACCAAGTTGATTCTTTCCATAGACAGGCTATAGTTTTAATATCTCTTCCACGGCTGTCACCGCGTTTCGGGGTGAGCTAGTGAAATATAAACAATATGGCTCCGAATCGAGGAAACGCATGTCGCTATCTTTATATTAAAATCAATGGTTCGTTATTGCTCTGTAGCCCAGTACAAATAAAAATAGGGAAATTATTAAAATGAACAGAAAATTTGCTTTCACACGTTTCCAGTAGAAAGCAAGTTACGAAAAGTATAGATTTCTAAATTTGGAAAGACGGTAACGAAGTCGATGATTGTCTGCTCGGCGCGTTTTATCCATACTGACTACTTACCGAGTACTTTGACTTCAGCTTTGTTGAATTCATAATTTTATAAAAAAAATTAGGATTTATGTGTTTGAACCGTAGAACAAACACAATACAAAGCCCACAAAACTTATTTTATGCCAAAGGTTTATCGAGTAAGATGCATTTGAAAATCGGAGCTTTTCCTACTAAAAATCTTCCCAAGTCTTCGTGTATTAGACCTCGATCTCCTGATCGGAAAAAAACCTCCTTGAATGTCAGGAATGTGGAGAAAGAAAGAATAATGCTATTTTGCAGTTTGTGTGTTTTTGTTTTGGAGGTTGCTCTCAACATCTTGTCATCTTCATTGGATGTTAGTATTACACAGTCAAACTGTAGTTTTTAATTAACACATTAGTACTAGGCTACAGCTTACAATTGTTTTAAAACAAATTAGTATGTATGATAGCATTATTATAATATACCGGGGTATACTACAGAAATATATAACAGTTCTGAAGAACTCACAATAAAATAGATATTGATAAAATGATTATATGTTTTAGATGAATCAAGCTTACAGCTGGATTTGAATGTTCCTTTAGATGTACTGCTGATGCTCAATTTCAAATAGGCGATTCAGTTACTTCTCCCGATAATTACTTTTTTATGGATTTAATCATTAAATCGGCCTCGAAAACAAGGAATGGGATTTTGTTCAACATACAACAAAGTTGCATGAATCAATGGGTAAATATGAAAAAAAACTCATTAGTTTTTTTTTATATTTACAGAATACGCTTGAAGTCATGAATTTTCTGTTAGGGGCCACCTTGGAGATTAGGAAAAGGGAACCGAGACGAAAAGGATGGGTAAAGTACCTCAGTGTGCGGGCGCCCCTGCTTGGACAAAGAAATATGCGACTGAAGCATGAAACCTTTTATTTGAATTCAACTGACAAATATATATATACACTGTATATAATGAATCTATGACTCGATTTAATTTATAAAAGGTTTTTTCAAAACGTGCAAATTTGCGCAAGATCTGTAAACATAGTCTTAATGTATACGAATTTAATGATAATCCTAATAATAATAATTGCACCGGACAACTTGTTTTGACGGCCGGATAGCAGTCAAGGTACCAGCCTACAGCTCTGGGACCCGGAATCGAATCAGGACGGGTCGAAAAAACCCCAGGAATTTTTCGGGGTGTGGTCCTTCTGGATATGTTCCTCACCACCCGGCTGCCCCATTACGGGCCTGGCCAAACCCATAATAAGCTTGCTAAAAGGCCTTCTTAGTGCCCACAGGGTAAAAAATTATTAAAAAACCGGATAATTTGTTAAATCTTTACCTAAAATATAAAAATTATCATCTTTTTGACATCATAATAATTGTACGATACTTTAATACATGTAATGTACTTGTATCGAGTTTATGAAATAAGCTTTTAAAGTACACACCTGATACACCTTTCACTGAGAATATTAAAGAACTTGATTTCTCCATTACTGAGAGGAAAGGATTATTGCACATCACAAAATTCGGACATTAAAAATATCCACGAATCGTTTGTTCAAAGTAACATTTATGAATGTCGATTTTAAGCTGAAGAAATGATAAGCTATAATTTTTACAAATATGTATACCCGAATTATTGTACCTTAATTTCTAAACAAATTCAAATTAATTCGGAGCACTTGTGTTTCGATTTTTTCTGATAATTCTGAACCACTGTGCAACTGGTTGGCCACGTGGAGTTTTCTGAGTTTTCTTCAGTTGTCTAACACTTAAACGGGTTTCTTTCCCATAGAAAGACCTTCTAGTGGTATTACCTCTTGGCAGATCGCGCACGTGTTGCGTTGCCATATCTCATAAATCCAATCCGATCTAAAATAATTTGGAAACTATTGATACAAAGTATTTTTAAGAAACCAAATTAGTTTAAGTGTTCAAATGACAACATTGAAGAAATTAGCATGTTCAATACCTAAAGTACTTTTAACCCAAATACTTAACCAGCAGTTCAACAGACGGGAACAGATCAGATTATATTTGCACCGCATTTTTATAGACGTTGAGTAAATAGAATAGACAAAAAGAATCAGGGAAAGCAGAAGGAAAGAAAGGCATCTTATTAAAAAAATAGCAGACTTTATCTCAGAAGAAAAAAACTTTGCAAAAGTTGCCAGCCTATATGAAGAAAACAATAAATAGATATTCCGAAAAATCTCTATGATAAGATGGGTCTTAGTAATCATGATAGTAAGACTTACA